ATCACGTTCTGGGGGGGGAGGAAATACACGTTTTCTTGGTGGGGTACCTGGTAAAATTTGCATTAAAGGGGCTAAATATCACGTTATTGGGGTTGCTTCAACCCGCAGCAATAATGTTAAATTAGCCAAATTCCGAGGGAAAACCGCAGACCCGGCAACACTGCCAACAGCATGCACGCAGTACTGTTGAGTAGATTTGTTTGGTCAAAGCACCCCAAGTGGTGACTTTAGGAAAAGTTGATCAAAGGTTATGAGTACATTTAGCTTCATTTGTAACTCATAGTAAAGTTAAACATACCTGGCTGCATTACTTAAAAGAGAGATTAGAAACTGAATTAGTAAAACAGATATAAGCTAAACAAAATATTCATTCATCATTAATTTGCTATTATTAACAAAAATATCTAATTAAATAAATACATAAAAATAATCAAAGTTGATAATCAATTAGAGGGCTAAACCTTCCTACGTATGTAGGAACTCAATTAGTTTCTATAAGCATAGAAAATGTTCCAACTACTTCATAGTAAAACAGATATAAGCTAAACAAAATATTCATTCATCATTAATTTGCTATTATTAACAAAAATATCTAATTAAATAAATACATAAAAATAATCCAAGTTGATAATCAATTAGAGGGCTAAACCTTCCTACGTATGACCCTGGTAATGTAACTCAATTAGTTTCTATAAGCATAGAAAATGTTCCAACTACTTCAATTCATTCTTCTGTTCTCCTCTTAGCTTTGAGTGACCCCTGTTTTGAGCTCAACTGCACGGAGGATGAATGGTGTGGAGAGAAAAATGGTGTTTATGGCTGTTTCTGTAACAAGAGTCATCAAAGACCAGACCCAGAGTCTTTTGGTTAGACAACATTGCACAACAACAATTCAAATCTAAGTTTTACTTAATCACATTTTTAATTAAAGTTAACTTTAATGTTCTTACTCTTTTTTTCGGTCAGATTTCTCTGAGGTTTGTGAAAGCAGCTCTGGTTCCATGTCTCTGTCTCGCTGTCAGCTCTTTGAGGCTGGTTTTCCTACTGACAACTTACACCTCAATGACCCCAACTGCAAAGGAACAGTCTGGAATGGCAGAGTGGAGTTCTATTTTGACAACAATGACCACATCTGTGGTACAAATCTTGTGGTAGGATATATTATGCTATTTAAACACACAGGAGTATATGCTATTTAAAACACACTCAGCTCTCACATCTCAATTTACCACTGACTGAATAATGCTGAAGTAGTCTTTTTTAAATAAACATTTTACCCCCTTTTTTTCAGTTGACTAATGAGTTTTGCTCTTAAGACAGTAGCTTTAAATAAAATCTGGTCTTAAAAATATCTTTTAAAAAGTTTTATATATGGTAATTTTCTGTAAACCGAGAGCACAGTGCTACTGTTTATCCATAAAATAGTCATTAAATTGATACAGAATGTAGCATTTTTCCACATATCAACCCTACTGTTATTTCAACAGCATTGTCCACAAGAAGCTTCCTGCTGGTCAAGGGAGATATCAGGTCAGGATGGTTCCATATCAGGATGCTGAGTTCTCCCAGCCCTTCACTGGAAGTGTGAATGTAGAGCTCAACCAGCAGATGTTTCTGGAAATTCGTGTAGAGGGGGTTGACAGCCGTCAGTTTGCCACAGTGATTGACACATGTTGGGCGACACCTGAGAATGATCCTCATCACTCTGTCCGCTGGGACCTCATCAGCGGAGAGTAAGGCTTTTCTTGTGTTTTAACTGGTGCAAAATCTTAAAAGCTAGAAGAGCAGAACTTGTTATTTATTGTGATGCTTTACAGGACATTCTTATCATTTTTCTTATCGGATTTTCTGAAAGCACCGCTTTTACGCCATCATAAATGTGATTCTGCAAATAATTTTTCTGTGTTTTTGTTGACATAGTTCTTTTATACAATGGTTGACTGTTACAACTAATATTCCCAGGTGTCCCAGTCCAAATGATGACACAGTGGAGCTGCTGCAGAATGGAGTCTCCACATCCAGCCGTTTCTCCTTCAGTATGTTTGTCTTCACTGCAAACTCCACTAAGGTTTATGTGCACTGTACTGTTCACATTTGCCTTCTGATGGGAAACCACTGCTCAACTGTGAGTTTACAACAAACCCTCTCACAACGAATAAAATAAAAAAAATTCTTAAAAGGGAATTATACAATCAATTCACAAAAAAAGACATGTATATACATTAGGGGTTGAACGACTTCTGATTTTTTGAAGTGGACTTTTATGTGATGAAAGTCGAGTCGAAGTCGACTAGTAGCTGATGACGTCATTAATGAACAAATAAGTCTGGAAGTGTGACGCACAGCTATGGCATATGACACAGCGCTGCCCACATGGCTGTTGCTCCTATAACAGCTTTTTTTATCAGTTGTTTTGTCTTTGGGTCGTTATGTTTCTCACAGATTTCTGCTCGTTCTAAATCAGATACAGATAAAGAAGCACAGTAAAGATTACATTAATATGAATGCATTAGTGAGACAGCGATTGCGTGTGTGAATTAATTCTACCTTCACTACTCTCTACTAGTAGTGAAGCTGTGGAATTGACTAGTTATTAAGAAATATATGCTTGAACTTTTCAGTTTCTAAGCTATTTTATTGAGAAATCACAGAACAGTGTTGACAATACATTTCCACGCTGAATGATTCTGTGCGCGTGATGTACGAGCTACTGTCTGTAGTCTATATGTGTGCGTTACAGTGCAGCAGCGCACTAGATTAGAACAGCGATTAACGTACCTGTACAATAAGCTGTTTAAAACGTGCATTCTTCTGTTCAATTTCGAGCATCCAGTAATGTAATCACACGTCTTGTGGAGCGCTTTCAGAGGATGCATTTATTTGTCATTTGAACTGTTTGGAAACGGAGCGTAAATGTGGAAGTCCTTCAAAGATTACTTATCCTGTTGCACCCTCTATAGGACCAGCGACTAGTCGACACCAAGCATAAAGCGTCATGGCAGAGCATTGAAGTCGACCAGTCGATTAGTCTGTGCAACCCCTAAAATACATACATATACACAATGGTCGATAGACATTACAAGGTGTTGATGAATTTTCAACAACTGCACAGCTGTAAAGTAGTTCCTGGTTTGACCGCATTACAGTTCCTTATCACTTTGCAGATAATTACTCGAGCTCTCGCTTTCTCTTTCACCACACACACACGCACCTTGGTGAACCTTGTCCTTGTCCTTACTTCACTGACTGCATACAAGACATTTCATGTGTTTGATCTGCTGTTTTCTGTGTCAAACTTCACAATCAATAAAAATGTGCAGTTTCATTTAAATAAATAAATATTGCCTAAACAAATACAGAAATAAATTAAATTTAATGAATAAATAAACCACTTGTTAACATACTTGATCTCTCAACCAAATGTTTAAAAAGATAATTACACAAGTTGTCTCTTTCGCCCTTGTCCTTTAGTGACTGCTTAGAGACAGCCCAAGCCATCATTGCTAGTTTGAAAGTGTAATGGGTGTGCATTTATTTTCAATAATTCAACGGCCCTTCATCAATTATTACTTACATATATAACTTCTTTCTGAAATTCCTATCATTTATTTTTAAAGGGAAAAAAATATTTTCAGTCAGTCAGTCAGTCTTTTTAGATCATTAATACAATATTGATCTCCAACAAAACATATCAATAAATAAAGCTATCAATAAATGCTGAATCCCAAATGTTTAAATTTAATGATTAAACATTTCATATTTTAATATCATGTCATGTTTTATTGCAATACGTCCTAAAACAAAACACATTGTTTTGTCCTAAAACAAAACAAATAATTTGTTTCGACTGCCCTCTGTTTTAAGTATAGAATCATCTGATTGTATTAATCAGAACACAGCCCAATGATCCTGTATTTTTTTTTCTTTTAGCACTGTGACTCTGGATACCACTGGAGAGAGGGCAGGTCTGCGGAATTCCATGACAGTGCTTCCATTTCCATGGGTCCCCTGATGTCGTCTGAAAGGAACCAAGGTTTTTGTTTTTCTCATCTAATTCAGTTTTGTGATGTATTGTTTATGCATATTTAAAAAAAAATGCTCTGTCTGTTTTGAATCTACTACATGTCACTTTATTATATTTATTGTTCACAGGTATTTGGGCCCCAGAACAGCAGAACATATCCACGGCTTAAGTGTCTGTGCGGTTCTTTGATTATATTATTTGTTTCTCTGCTAAGTGTTTTGATCTTTTTGTTTAATATTTCACTGATTGAAATATTTCTGCAAAGAATACTCATTGTTTTATATACATCTCATCTCTTTCAAAATGAATGTCTTACTGATGCCACACTCCTACAAGCTGGGTTTCTCATTGTTAATTATGCTCTTAAAATCATCTTATCTCGTTTTTTAAAAAACGAGATTAACCTTTGTTTCCCAAACCAGCATGTAGAATGTTCATTATTAAGCAGAACTTAAGTGCATTGTTATGGGAACCATTTGGTCCAGAGGTACTGAATAAGGCCATCCAGTGGTTACATTTTCTTTTGTCATTAAAGTGTGGGGTAGAATCATTAGGAAGAACAGAAACAATATAATTCTAAGTAGTTATGTCCTTTGTTTGTGCTGCAGTATAAATAAACAGTGTCCACTGTCTCCGAGTTATGGTTTATGCTTTTGTCCCCATGCTCTGGGCTAATGTTGGCTCACCAAAATTTTCCACCTATGGTGGGTCGCAACAACATTTATAAGATGATGAGGAATAATGGAAACAGAAAGGGATGAATAGCTGAAGAACAAGCAACTTGGTCTACTGGGAAAAAAACATGAGGGGGAAAACAGAGTTTCAAGGTTAATTTTAAATGTTCAAACACTAACAGATGCTGTGTGAATCATTAGGCTGGCTTGAGAAAGCCAACCTACTAATATTCTATTTAAGTTTAATATTCTTCTCCTGTGAACAAAATTTCTAAATGTATCTCCTCCTTTAAAGCTATAACCACCAAACTAGGCAGAGACCTTTAGACTGATCTTACTTAGTGTGCTATATCCTATCTATCTGATCGGAATTATGGTTTTCCTAAAAATGACGATCAAAACTGGGAAAAATCCCACAGAAATATTACGTCAATGTAAGTCTAAGCCATTTAAACTAATTTAAGCTTCCATTCTACAGTCATGGCCAAAGGTTTTGGCAGTGACATAAATTTTGCAAAGTTTGCTGCTTCAGTATTTGTAGATTATTTTTCCACGTTTTTTTATGTTATTCTGAAAAATAATGATAAGCATATCATAAGGTTTAAAGGCTTTTATTGGCAAAAAATATAACGAGTCAATATTTACAGTGTTGACCCTTGTTCTTCATATCCAGCATGCCAGAGTGAATTGCAGAGTGTAGCAAAGTTTGCAGTTCGGGAAGAAGGACGAGGAAGTCAGGGGTGGCGGGCAGACCTTTTATTGGTCGCCACAGACAACATATAACACAATGAGCGCTTCTCGGGTTTCACAGTCAGGTGTCGTCGCACAGTCTCCAGTCTCTCTTTCCCTCTCCCAGGTCGGCTGCCGCTTTATCTCCCATCTCCCCGCCAATCACTGGAATTGCAAACAGGTGTTAATCATTATTCACTTGACCTCCTTATCACCGCTCATCTCCAAACTCGCTCTCCCGCTGCAGCCTTTTGCCTTCCCTCACCCCCCTCGCCACATACCCCCACCGCCCGACTCAGGCCGGGGCGCCATCCGGCCTGCAGCCCCTCCCCCCCCCATTTCTAGAGAGGAAGTCGGCCACTGCCATCTGGGCCCCCGGCCTGTGGACCACCTTGAACTTAAAAGGCTGTAAAGTCAGATACTAACGGGTGATCCGCGTGTTGGTATCCTTCATACGGTGGAGCCACTGGAGGGTGGCGTGGTCCGAACAGAGGGTGAATTCCCATCCCAGGAGGTAATAACGGAGCGTTAGGACGGCCCACCGAATAGCCAAAAACTCCTTTTCAATGGTGCTGTATCTGGCCTCTCTCTTTGAGAGCTTTCGACTCAGATACAGCACCGGCCGCTCCTCTCCTCCGGCCACCTGGGACAGGACTGCACCCAGCCCCCTGTCCGATGCGTCTGTCTGCAACAAAAAAGGGAGATCAAAGTTCGGAGAGTGTTAGAGCGGCCCCCCGCACAGGGCAGCCTTTACCTTGGTTAGGGCCTGTTGGGACAGCTCCGTCCACTGGACCGGATCTGGTGCTTCCCTTTTAGTGAGATCAATCAGCGGGCTGGTGAGCTCCGAATAATTAGGAATAAACCTGCGATAATTTCCCGCCAGCCCCAGGAACTGTCTCACCTCCTTTTTGGTCTTGGGTCTTGGGCAGGCCGCAATCGCCGCCGTCTTATCAATTTGGGGACGCACCTGCCCATGACCCAAGTGGAAGCCCAGATCCACCCGCCCAATTGCACACTTCCGTGGGTTTGCCGTGAGTCCAGCCACCCTCAGGGCCCTCAGGACCGCGTGCAGATGTTCCATATGCCGCTGCTAATCATTACTATGTATAATAATGTCGTCGAGATAGGCAGCAGCATACGCGCTATGTGGCCGGAGAATCTTGTCCACGAGACGCTGAAAGGTGGCAGGAGCCCCGAACAAGCCGAACGGAAGGGTAACGAATTGGTGTAACCCGAACAGGGTGGGGAAGGCTGTTTTTTCCTTGGATAATGGCGACAAGGGGATCTGCCAATACCCTTTCGTTAAATCCAGTGTCGAATAAAAGTGAGCTGAACCTAACCGATCAAGCAGCTTGTCAACTCGGGGCATTGGATAAGCATCGAATTTCGACACAGCATTCACCTTTCTGTAATCCACACAGAACCAGACGGAGCCGTTCGTTTTAGGCACTAAAACTATCGGGCTTGCTCAGTCGCTATGCGATTCTTCTATTACTCCCAGCCCTAGCATGGCCGTTAATTCATCCTGCACCACTTTTTTCTTGTGTTCCGGTAACTGATAGGGACGGCTGCGCGCCACCTCCCCGGAGATCGTTTCGATGTGGTGCTGTATGAGGTTCGTGCGACCGGGCAGGGGTGAAAACACATCAGCAAAATCCGCTTGCAACATGGCTAGCTCGGTGAGCTGCAGCAGCGAGAGGTGACCAGAGCGAGCGGATTGGTTTTAACAGCCGCTTCCGGTCTGAGATCTTCCTCTGCCGGAACGGCCACTGCTAACCCCACCGAGGTCACCTCATTCCAACGTTTTAACAGGTTGAGATGATAAACCTGACATGAATTACCCCTGTCCGTGCGCCTAACCTCATAATCGAGATCCCCCACTCGCCGTGTAACCACAAACAGTCCTTGCCACTTGGCGAGTAATTTGGAACTAGACGTTGGAAGTAATACAAGCACTTTCTCTCCCAGTGTAAATTGCCGCGCTCGCGTACCCCTGTTGTACAGCCGACTTTGTCTGCGCCTGGAGCAAATTCTCCATTGACAGTCACCCCAGAGTGTGGAGGTTTGCTCGGAGGTCCAGGACATACTGAATTTCACTATGGCTGTTTAAAGGCCCCTCCTCCCAAGCCTCCCTAATGACGTCCAGCACCCCGCGGGGCTGGCGACCATAGAGGAGCTTGAATGGGGAAAACCCCGTGGAGGCTTGTGGAACTTCCCGCACCGCAAACAATAGGGGCTCGAGCCAGTTATCCCAATTTTTGGTGTCTTCCTTAACAAACTTATGAACCATGGATTTCAACGTGAGATTAAATCGTTCCACCAAGCCGTCCGTTTGTGGGTGATAGACACTGGTGCGAATCGATTTAATGCCCAGGAGCTCGTATAGTTTGCGTAACGTACGTGACATAAACGCCGTGCCCTGATCAGTGAGGATCTCTTTGGGGATCCCCACTCGGGAGATGACTCGAAACAGTGCGTCCGCCACACTCTTTGCAGAGATGGTGCGCAGCGGCACTGCCTCCGGGTATCATGTTGCATAGTCCACCAGGATTAATGCAAAGCGATGCCCTCATGCTGAACGTTCAAATGGCCCAATGAGCTCCATAGCAATTATCTCGAAGGGGACCTCTATCAGTGGTAATGGGCGCAAGGGCGCTTTAGAGCTGGCTGGAGGATTTACCAGCTGACATTCACAACACCCCCGCACACCACTGGCGGATGTTCTCATGAATGCCTGGCCAAAAGAATCGGGCCATGAGCCGTTCCCGTGTCTTTGCCTCCCCCAAGTGGTCTGCCATGGGACTATTATGAGCCGCCTGGAAAAGCATTTCCCGACGGCTTTTTGGGACTAATAACTAGGTTGCATTTTTTTTTGTTTGGGTATCTTGGGTCACCCAATACATTCTATCTTTTAAGGGAAAAATAGGGATACGAGAGAGGTTGGTCAGGCTGGAGAAGCTGTCCGTCGATGGTGCGGACCCGGTCATACGCATTTTTCAGCATCTCGTCGCGAGACTGCTCCAGCAGAAAGTCATCCAGCTCAGGGGAAATAGGCTCCGCCCTCGCTCTCTTTTCCTCTGAGACAGCCTGTGACGGTCCCGAAACAGCATATCCCGCCTGCGCCACCGCTTCCCTGTTCCCCAGCCCCATTTCCCAAGAAGCATCCGCACAAAAAAAACCCAATAATTGTGTAAAAGCTGGCCAATCTGTCCCCAAAATCAGCGGATGCCTAAGGTGGGAATTAACCGCCACCTTCATTCTATGCATTTTCCCCCGAAACTGAATACTAACAGCCGCTAGCGGGTAGTCCACCACATCCCTGTGCACACACCTCACCTTAACCTTGTGGCTCGTATCCAACACCCTTTGTTGCATCAGGCTTTGATGAATGGAGGTTTGGCTGCAGCCTGAATCCACCAAAGCCTGATATGTACCCCCCTCGATACTCACAGGAATTTGGTACAGGCCGGCTTGATCGGGGGCAGCCGCCGGGGAGTCGGGGACCCGGATCAACGCTCCCACGTCCATCATGGGACACCAGTCCAAAAAATGACCCGGGTCCCCGCATCTCTAGTAGGCCGGCCCAGGCCTTCCTGCCACCCCAGCGGCAGAAGGATGGCCAAGAGATTGGCGGAGAGAGGAGAAAGGCGGCGATGGAGCCGTGGCACCGGCGCTCTCCGCCACTCCCCCTCTGGTCCCCGCTCAGGTCCCCTGGAAGACCACGCGGGTCGGGGGGGGGCGCATTACTCTGCGACCTGGGAGTAAGAATAGGGCGGGGAGAGAAAGACGGAAGGGAAGGGGGGGGAGAAGAGAGAGAGAGATTAAAAGGGGGCTCGCCAACCCCTGGGCACGCCACCAGATGGTCTTCAGCCAGCTGGATGGCCTGCGGCAGCGACGTCGGGTGGTGGCACTGGACCCACTCGGCCGTCCCCCGTGGTAGCCGAGCGACGAACTGCTC